GAATATAGGAGCCACAAGCAGCCAGGGAGTTGCACCACCAGGCCCGTCGGAACCGGTTCCGACGGGAAACGGGCACCGGGTTCCGGAAGGGGACAACGCAAACTCGGCCCCGTCAGGCTCCGTTTTAAGGTCGCCAAGGTCGACCCCGGTCGACGAGGTGGTCCATCCTCAACAGATTGGGTGGTCAGGCAATACAAGCGTTGTCTTCCCAGATCCCGGAATTCGCCGGGAAGGACGGCGACAACGTGCAGGCCTGGGTAAGAAGAGTGGAGAAAGTGTCCCAAGTCCACGGTGTCGGCGAGGGAGTGACCATGCTGGCAGCGTCCAGTAAGCTTACTGGGGCTGCGCGACGATGGTTTGACATCCAAAGCGGCACCGCGGTGGAAACGTGGACGGGACTAAGGAACGATCTTCTGCGGATCTTCGAACGAAAGGTCCCATTCTACAAAACGATGCAAAGGATAGAAGCCAGAAAGTGGCTTTGGAACAAGGAGTCCTTTGATGACTACGCCTTGGACAAATTGGCGATGATGCACCAGGCGGAACTGGCAGAGGCAGACCAGATTCCACTATTGGCGAGCGGCATCACCCAGGGCTCTCTCCGAGGCATCGCCCTGTCGGTGACGGCTGGATCAGTGGACGGCTTCCTCGACCAGATGCGGCGGATCACGCACGGGGTTGCCGAGCCGGAGAAGCGGGGTCCTCCGGCGATACCAGCCGTGAAAGGAAAGGACAGCGGATGCAAAAATTGCGGCAAGAAGGGACACCAACAAAAAGACTGCAGGGGTGAGTTGAGCTGCTTTTATTGTAGAGAGAAGGGACATCGACGTTTCGATTGCCCCCTCCTCAAGAAGAAGGAAGCAAAAGCTGCACCCAAGACAGCAGCGACGACGGCGATTGCGGCAACGGCGGCGGGCGCCGTGGAGGAGCAACCGGAGGACGTGGTGGCTTGCATCCAGGAACGAGGACACGAGGAAGAGCGGCTCTGCATCTCCAGCCCCTTGGTCACCGTGGAGTCAGTCCTGGAAAAACCCACCCAGTTGTTAGCCCTCCTTGATACCGGAAGTCCAGTCTCGTTCGTGAAATATAATACATATGTGAATCATATCAGACCGGAAGGCATCAATATTGAACCGTGTAATAGAATGTTAAAAAATTTAAGCGATCAAACATTGGAAATTATAGGAACCGTTTCGGTTAAAATATCATTACAAGAAATTCCCGAAAAGTTGTTTTCGATCGTTTTGCACGTAATGGGAAAAGATACATTCCAGACTGATATGATAATAGGTCGAGACTTTTTGAACAAACAGAATCTTACCTTAGTATACGAGCCGTCCCCGCAAAGTCAGAAAAACAAAGTCGAGTTGTTTTCGAGTTTGCCACTCTGCGCCGTGGTGAATAACAACTCCCTAAAACAAACAATTGACGACCTACAAACAGATTTCGAAAACAGTTCACGGGAACAATTGAAAAGGATATTAACGGAAACAAATAATATACAGATAGAACCTACCTTAGATAATTATTCGGTGGAAGTCCGACTCAAGGATGATTCCATTTACGCGTATGCGCCAAGACGTTTCGCCCACTCGGAGCGTTTAGAGATGCGCCGTATCACCGATGACTTGATTGAACGCGGAATAATCCAAGCCAGTGTATCGCCCTATTGCGCGAGGGTGGTACCCGTAAGAAAGAAAAACGGAAAAATGAGACTATGTGTTGACTTAAGACCGTTAAACAGTCGGGTGGTGAAGCAAAAGTATCCGTTTCCGGTTATAGAGGAATGTCTTTCGCGACTCGGGAAAAAGAAAGTTTTCACGTTGTTAGATTTAAAAGATAGTTTTCACCTGATCAAGGTTGATGAAAGGTCAACTAAATATTTTTCATTCGCGACGCCGGACGGTCAGTACGAATACAAAAGGCTTCCTTTCGGTTATTGTGAAGCTCCGGCCGAATTCCAGAAAAGAATAATACAAATCTTGAATCCGTACATACGCGAGGATAAAGTAATCGTGTATATTGATGATGTCCTAATCGCGTCGGAAACCGTCGAAGAAAATTTGAAAATTTTAAATGAGGTATTAATCACTTTCAAAAAACACGGCTTTGAATTGAACTTGCCGAAATGCAAATTTCTAAGAAAAGAAATCGAATTTCTCGGTTACATAGTATCAGAAAACGGTATTAAATTGAGTCCGAGACATACCGAAGCGATACGGAATTACAAAAGACCAAAAGACCGATTACAACTACAGAGATTTTTGGGCCTAGTCAATTATTTTCGCCGTTTCATTAAAGACTACGCGTCAAAGGCCAAACCGCTTCAAAATCTAATCAAGAAAAATGTCGTTTACGAGTTTAATGAGGAATGCGTAAAATCGTTTAACTTACTGAAAACGGAACTCGTGACAGAACCGGTATTGCGGTTGTATAATCCGGCAGCGGAAACGCAGCTTCACACCGATGCGTCGAGTTCCGGGTATGGTGCGATCTTGTTGCAACGTCAGCCCGATCGGTCCTGGGCGCCGATAGCGTATTTCAGTCACGCCACGAACATGGCTGAAAACAAATATCATAGTTACGAGCTCGAAATGCTTGCGATAGTGCGCGCCATCGAACGCTTTCATTTGTATTTATACGGATTAGATTTTACAATTGTAACCGATTGTAATGCAATTGTATACGCGGTAAACAAGGCGAATCTGAATCCGCGAATAGCGAGATGGACTCTCGCACTCCAGAATTACAAATTTAATATCACGCACCGGCCAGGTACTCGGATGGCACACGTCGATGCGTTGAGTCGCTGTGTAGCGTACGTAAATCAGCTACCCCTCGAGCGCGAACTTGAATTCAGACAGTTGACAGATCCGAAAATCCGCGAAATAGCGAAAGAATTAGAAACACAGGATAATGACAGATTCAAATTAATAGATGGATTAGTATATCGATATGAAAACGAGCGTACTAAATTTGTGATACCTGAGACAATGGTAAACGCTGTCCTTAGGGCTCACCATGATGAGATGGCCCACTGCGGGGCAGAAAAAACTCTAGAAGGAATTAGACAATATTATTGGTTCTCATCGATGAGGAAAAAAGTCTATGATTACATTGAAAATTGTTTTACCTGTTTGATGTCAAACTCCTCTGCGAATAGCACAGAAAGAGAGACCTCGCTGTATCCATTGTCTACTGTTCCGCTACAAGTACTGCACGCAGACCACTTCGGTCCATTGCAAGAGACCCCCGAAAAGTATAAACATGTGTTAGTCGTTGTCGATGCATATACAAGGTTCACTTGGTTATATCCAACCAAGTCGACCGGGTCAGGAGAAGTAATAAAAAATTTTGAAAACTTGTTTGATACTTTTGGAAGGCCTCAAGAACTAGTTACAGATAGAGGTACGGCTTTTACCTCTCAAGACTTTACAGTATTTACTAGTAGATATAATTTAAAACATAGAAAAATAGCAGTAGCAGCACCTTGGGCAAATGGATTGGCTGAGCGAGTCAATAGGTTTATAAAGTCTTCGCTCACTAAACTTATGTTTAATCTGACGGATTGGATAAAACATCTAGGCACTCTTCAATATATAATTAATAACACTCACCACTCTTCTATCAAAGCGAGCCCAGCAAAGATCCTATTAGGCTTCGATCAGCGTGGCCATGTAGACAGCTCTTTTGCGCAGTTCACACAACAGCTTACAGGCATAGATTTAGATTTGGAAAGAGAGAGACAGTTAGGTAGAGATAGTGCAATCCGAGCGACAGAATCAGTACGTAATTATAATAAAATGTACACTGATAAGCACGCAAGGAAACCGACACTCTACAAAGACGGTGATTATGTTAGAATTAGGGATACTCGAGCGACACCGGGTATTAGCAGTAAGTTTAAGGCGAAGTACAAAGGTCCTTACGTAATTTACAAGACCTTAGGCAATAACCGATATGTGGTGCGAGACATACCAGGGCATAATATCACGGCTAGACCGCTGGACACTATCCTGTCCTCTGACCGCATCAAACCGTGGATTAAATTAACAGAACCTGAAAATCAAGACTAAGATTAATAGACACAAAGATTATATCCAAGCATTGTATTATATTTAATATTAGGAATTGCATGGTACCAAAATTTAATACTTACGTGCGAATACCGATGTAATCATAAAAAAAAAAAAAAAAAAAAAAAAAAAAAAACTTTGTCGTAAAAACGGGCACCCAATGAGGTAAATCGCTGTCATATGCACCGAGGCGGTGCCAAAGGTCAGGATGGCCGAGCTGTAAAGTATTGTAAAGTATTGTAAAAAATATACTTATATGTATATTTTCGAGCGAGACCGTCAGCTGCTGCCACCAACTCCGATGCGCACGCGCACTCCGAAGTTCGAGAGCGGCGCGTAACAGAGTGTTGAGAGAGAGAGAAGAAAAGGGCACTCTCCTTCGAGAAGCGTAAGATACCGGACGTATCGGCGCGAGGGTCTTTTTGTATAGTGTAAGGAATTCGAGAAGGTTCTAGAAATATATCGAACACGTATTCTATTAGATATATTTATTACAGTGTTTTATTTGATAACCGATCATATTCTTTCGGTATTACAATCCACCTTTTTCTTGTATCTGCTTCAATATCTGTGGCCGCGTGTACCTTTTTCCATCGCCCGACGAAAATCCTGTTCGTATGAAGGCATACCTACAAGCGTATGCCTTACAAAAGCATCATTAGAGAAGATCGCATGACAAAAGAATACTAGGCGGGTTCTGGACCAGGTCCTCTGAGGGGGGGGTGCGGGGCGGGGGGGTTTTCGAGGGCGAGGGGGTATGACGTCACGCGGGCGAGGGATCTTATCAGCAGATAAGATAAGGTATATTTCTAAGAAATATAATTATAAATTCTAAGAAGGGCTGCCGCTAAATCCATGCTTGAGCGCCGACAATCAAGAGGGTTGATACCATGATCTATACGTTATCTGTATATTTCTAAGAAATATCAGCAGGTAAAGTTTCGGAGCGAACAAGTTGCTGCCTGCAACCTCGCAGCTTGCGGCCTCGCTGCCAAGATTACAAGGTGAGTACAGTCCGTATGTTTGTTTTATATCTTATTCCAATTTATTTTTATTTATCACAGGTTTTAGAAAAGAAACGTGGCCACGAAATAATTATATTTATAATATATCACAGCGTAGCCAGGAGACATGGTCTATATTGCAATCTGATAAATGTATGAATGTGCGAGGTCTCTCATTACTGTTTATTTTGGAAACCTAACTAGTAAGTACACAGTTTGAAAATTTGTGTTCTTTTTTTTGTTAAAAACGGCCCTTGTTAAAATTTTTTATATTTAACTTTATATACTTAATATTTATTTAATATTTATTGTGTAAATATTTACACATGTCATGTGTGTTAATTTAATATATTGCTGCTGTGATATTAATTGTACTCACATATTAAATTATTAAAACAACGGAAAAGAAGTGTAAAAATAACATAATAAGCATCTATTTTTTGTTAAATTAACTCAATTAACTTAAAAATTTCTGCAGACTGTTTATGAGACACGTGATATTTGTTTTTAACACAAATTTTTCAATTATGTATATAATAATAATTGGAATTATCTAAACCTTTCGGCATTTTTATTCTTATACAAACACATATACATATATATAATTTTATATTGTTCACAGTTCCACGAAGAGTTTGGAAAATGCAAGATGTTTTAATATAATTTCAGAACAATTCCCAGATTGTCTCCTCGATCAACTGAAGATACTTGAAACAATGTATTTTAAGAGAAATGTTAATATTCCAATAACAAAACAACCTAACAAAGTTGGTAATTATTTATATATAGTCTCATCTATATATTAATTTTAACTAATTAATATACTTCTACCTTAAGGGGATCCTAAATGATGTTTTTACCGACCGAATGCGAGAATATTTATTTTTTTCATATAACTTTTTATTGACTATACTGATCAATAAATCCTTTTCCACGATTAAAGTACTTATAAAAACGGACCGCGCTAGCTATGTTTGCATATATAAATCATATAAAAATCAAAAATTACAGTTTTGTTATCGGCTGCTTTGTGTCAGTTCGTAATAATACTTATTTAATAAAAAAAGTTTTGCAGTTTGTCTGTGCATGAAATATAGTATGCGCGGTAAGGATTATATGAAGAAATATTAGTAAGCAATTAAAAGTGAGATTGCAAGTCTAATAAAAAAGTTATATATAAAAAAACATTTCACGCATATGTGTGTGTGCAAATCGAGGCTGCGGAATAAAACAGAGCAGTAGATTAGTTGTGTGATATCGTGATAGATGGAGCTGCAACGTGTTCTCTCTCTCTCTCTCTCTTTCTCTCGTTCTCTCTCTTTCTGTTTTTTATAAGGTCTGTTCGTTTTGGCTACACTGGCCACATTAGTTCAGAGGTTGTCTTTTTTGTTCGACATTGGAAGGAAAAAGATAACCTCTGAATTAGTGTAGCCAATGTATGCCATTATATATTTTATGTTTGATAATATAAATAATACATCAATTTTTTTTATAAAAAACTATATATAAAACAGAAAAAATTTTGTGTTATTTATATTATCAAACACATGAAATATATAATGACATACAATTTTATTTTAATTATATTTGTATAATACAATAATATTCACATGATTTTTATAGATAATAAGTATATGCATTTATAATTTATAAAAACTAAATCTTATTTTTCATACATCGAAGTAATTCGAGTAATGATTTTACTGAAATATATATTTGATAGACATGTGATTCTAACGAATTTTATTTGTTCGCATATACCTGTAAATTGTTATAAAAATTACTTTTACTGTAAATGTAAGATAAATTGTATGCAATCTATAAAACAAAAAGAGAGAGACAGAGAGAGAGAGAGAGAGAGAGAGAGAGAGAGGAGAGAGAGAGAGAGAGAGAGAGCGAGCTTTTTTACTTTCCCGAAAATAGAGACATTCAATGCAAACGGTGAATTGTATATCTCTTTACGACACGTACAGCCGGGGAAAAATTTTTATATATAATTATATAAAATAATTGTATAATTATACATATAATTTTGCGATTATATGTATAAAATTATACAATTATTTTAATATAATTATATATAAAAAATTTTTCCCGGGTTGTATGTGTCGTAAGGAAATATATGTATAATTGATCGTTTGCATTGAATGTCACTATTTTCTGAAAAGTAAAAAAAGAGAACTCTCTCTCTCTCTCTCTCTTTCTTGATCCTTTATGCTTATTGTTAGTATTCTATCAATTAGTAATCAATGCAATCAATCATATCGTTTTACGGCAACAGCCAGTTACTCGTTCACTCACTCATTCATTCTTTTAAAATATGTCCATTTTTATACATAATTATGTAAATTTATATATAAAAAATAAGGGTGCATATATAATCATGTCAAATTTGTATATAAAACATATATATTTATATATATAAAGAAATACTTATTTATTACACTTGTATATATATATATATATATATATATATATAAATTTATATAATTATATATAACAAGCACTTTTACTTAATTATGTATAGACATATTTCATAATATAATTCTGCGATTATACGTATACTTTTATATATTTCTATATAATATTATATTATTATATACACAAATTTTTGTCCCGGGGTATTTTAAACTTTTATTTTCTTTTTCTTTCCCATTCTTGTCTGTCTTTACATGCATGTTATTATGTTGTATGTGTATCATGTATAATTTGGATTTGTATGTATGTTGAGAAGATTGGAATAGATAAAATTTTACTTCATGTTTTTATATTATAAATGCAGCTTTTTGTAAATATCCGAAATAAATAATTTTTCTACAAATATTTTAAATTTATCAAAATATTTTTTACTGCACAATTAGACTAATATATTTTGCATTATTCTATCTTTATTAATTTTTTTCATAATAAAATGGATTTTATTGAACAAATAATAAATAGTAAATAGAGAAAATATAAAATATCGAAAAGAATATATTCATATAAACATATATTTGTGAAATCGAAATTTTGTTAAAATTGACTTTCATAGAAATTGTATTTTATAAATTTAATTAAAAAAGCTGCATTTATCAGATAGAAACATAAAGTAATAAAATAATATATTCCAATCTTCTCAACACACACACACACACACACACACACACACACGCACACAACTTCTTATAACAAATGTTATATAAATTATACATATACAGGATGTAACAACGATCATATATCAGGAGTTTTAGAAGAAAATACGTATTTTATTGAAAAATGTTTTATTACCAAAGTTATAAGGGTTACTTATCATTACATAGTAGTATTAGTATTATGTTGAATAGCATTATCAAAGTCACATAAAGATTATTTGGAAATAATGGAAACCCTCATTTTTTATTGCATGTACATACATGTAGCTTACTTTGAGAGCTTTTCTAAATAAATTTTCATTCTGTGCATGCAATAAAAATGAGGTTTCCATTATTTCCAAATAATCTTTATGTGACTTTGATAATGCTATTCAACATAATACTAATACTACTATGTAATGATAAGTAACCCTTATAACTTTGGTAATAAAACATTTTTCAATAAAATACGTATTTTCTTCTAAAAACTCCTGATATATGATCGTTGTTACATCCTGTATATGTATAATTTATATAACATTTGTTATAAGAAGTTGTGTGCGTGTGTGTGTGTGTGTGTGTGTGTGTGTGTGTGTTGAGAAGATTGGAATATATTATTTTATTACTTTATGTTTCTATCTGATAAATGCAGCTTTTTTTAATTAAATTTATAAAATACAATTTCTATGAAAGTCAATTTTAACAAAATTTCGATTTCACAAATATATGTTTATATGAATATATTCTTTTCGATATTTTATATTTTCTCTATTTACTATTTATTATTTGTTCAATAAAATCCATTTTATTATGAAATAAATAATAAAGATAGAATAATGCAAAATATATTAGTCTAATTGTGCAGTAAAAAAAATTTTGATAAATTTAAAAAATATTGTAGAAAAATTATTTATTTCGGATATTTACAAAAAGCTGCATTTATAATATAAAAACATGAAGTAATAAAATTTTATCTATTCCAATCTTCTCAACATACATACAAATCCAAATTATACATGATACACATACAACATAATAACATGCATGTAAAGACAGACAAGAATGGGGAAAGAAAAAGAAAATAAAAGTTTAAAATACCCCGGGACAAAAATTTGTGTATATAATAATATAACATTATATAGAAATATATAAAAGTATACGTATAATCGCAGAATTATATATGAAATATGTCTATACATAATTAAGTAAAAGTGCTTGTTATATATAATTATATAAATTTATTATATATATAATTATATAAATTTATATATATTATATATATATAAGCAGAGCCGGTTTAAGGTTTGTAGGCCAGGGGTTGATTGTTAAAACGGGGCCTCCTTCATCATATAAGAATGTCTACTTGCGTAGATAAATATCTATTTTTAATAAAAATTATTTTATTGAATAATAACATTGAATTAAATGCAAAATAGATAGATACATATTTTGCAATTCTTATTTAAACGTGATGTTCGTATGACTTTTGTCGTTTCTGTTTAAACGATATAAGTAAGTTCTGGATGCTGAAAAATAAATACATGAAAATAATTCACATTTATTGAAATTACAGTAGTACTTATAAAAGTTTTTTTCTTGATTTATTGCGCGCAAATTCATTGATTAAATCATTAAATTCAAGATTTTTAGCAATTCGCTCTCTATGCTAATAATGCTAATGACGATAATCTAGTATCCGTCATTGTGGATCGATATTTATTTTTATTATAGTTAATTTAGAAAACGATCGCTCGGCCCTCGCAATTTGCGATCGGTATTGTCATAAATAGTCTAAATGCTACGTATATATTTGGAAAGACTTCTTCAAGTTTTCGATCGCACATCCATTTTAAAATATCCAATGGAAAGAATGTAACATTTTGAAGCTAGTTTTTATAAACGGAATAAATTGTTCCAGTTCGCAACCTAAACTACTTTCTAAATCATGAGAATAAATGCTAACAAGACGATTAGCGCACTCTCGCATTTCATCGATTTCGATGGTCGTCAATTTAGTTAGAAAGCCAAATAACTTTGTTATGTGATATACGCCGAACTTCGTTTTTCTAATTCAACTCGAAGTTTGTCAACGATTACATTAAATGATTCAATACGAATTTTTCGCAACCATTTAAATTTGAATCTCCGTTACATTATCTGCACATTTTTTTTAATTTTTCGTTTCTGTGTATCAGAATATTTTGTTGTACAAAAGAGCCTAAATTTTTAGAATCGTTTTCTATTGCTACAAAATCATTTCTTACGTCACTAATAAATTTAACTAGCGAGTGTAGCATATCATTAGCCGTAATCAAGTCGAGTTCGATTTTTTGCACAAATTTGCTAGTTATATTGAATCGTTGAAGAACTCGATGCCAAAAAACTGTCATAAATGCAGTTTCTAGTTTTGTTAATTTGTTTTTTAAGGACATTGCTTCGTGACGAGTTTCGGTCTTTTCTTCTTCACTTTGCTCAATCTCATACAATGAATTATATAATTCTAAATAATTCTGAGCTAATGCAGTAATGGCATCATCGCGGCATGACCATCTTGTAGAAGATAAACTTTTTAATGTAGTGCTCGCGTGTTTTAGCAATATGCTCCAACGATGCGTAGAAATGGAAAAGAAAGCATAAAGTCGTTGTACAAACCGGAAAAAATTTACAGAATCGATACATTCATCTACGCTGCATTCGCCAACTAAATTTAGTGAGTGTCCTACACAAGGAACGTAATACGCAAGATGATTAACTTCTTTAATTCGTGCTTGTAATCCCGAGTATTTTCCAGACATGTTACTGGCATTATCATAAGTTTGCGCTCGACAGTAAACAATGTCAATTTCATTATTGCAAAGAACTTGTAATATTGTTTCATTCAATGATGCTCCAGTATGGCTATTAATAGGTAAAAAGCAAAAGAAGCGTTCATACACACAACCATCCAAACAGTACCGGAATACAATAGATAACTGATCAACGTGAGATACATCTGGTGTCGAATCTACAATAAGGCTGAAATATTTTGCTCTCTTAATTTGGCTAAGAATTTCGTTCTTAACTTTGTTAGCCATCATGTGAATAAATTCTTCACAAATATCTTTTGACAAATAGGAAACGTGCCCGCGACCTTGATTTGCATGCAAGTCAAAGTGTTTTTTTAAGAATGGATCAAATTTAGAAATCAGTTCCAACACCCAAGTAATTTCCATTATTTGGAGAACCAATCACTTCATGCTCGCCCCGAAAGCAAGACCGCGTGCAGAAAGAAAACGAATTACTTCGACAATGCGTTTTAAAACTTCAGTCCAATACTTATCTCCTCTTGTAGCTGCTTAGCCATATAATTATTAATATGTGATTTTTCATGCACGAATGTGAGCCAAGTAAGCATGCATTTTTTGTGTTCTGCACTATTTTCATGTCCACTAATCTTTTCTTCTGCTTTCTTCCAATTGCTAAATCCGCCGTTTACAAATGTGTTTGTATTATTTCCACTAAAAAGCTTACAAACGTAACAGAAAACATTCCCAGTAGACTCTGAATATATCAACCATTTTCGCGTGCATTTTTCACCGTTAGCCAAAGTTCGTGAAAAAACCTTTGAAGATAAAAATCTGTTTTGATCTTTATATTGTCTAACAGAAGCTTGAAAATTGTTATCTTTTTTCTGAAAATATTCATAGCCTTTATCCAAATACTTTTGCCTCACATCATCATGCATTTCCATGGGCCACAGAAAGGGATCTTTATTTACAGGTTCTGAAAAGTATAAAATAAATAAGGAGAAAGAATAGGGAGAGAGAACAAGAGATAGGAGAGAGAGAGAGAGAGAGAGAGAGGACGGGAGAAAAGAGAGACTGCATTGACAACTGACAAGATTTTGTTTGTCACCACAATCAGAAGATTCTAAATGTACAGAAAACTTGTGTAATTTTTACAAAAGCAGCAAATAAAATTTTATATTTTAATTTTGCAAATTGTAACCTGCAAAAACGTACCTATGACGAGCTTGGCTTTCCTGCTTATTACGTTCTGATTATTCATGTCACAACTGTCATCTGAGTGTTCATTACAAATGACAGCATCCTTAATACTGAGTTCATCACTATTAGTAGAAAGTACCGAATTTGATGTTAACACCGAGATTTGCTGAATCTTATCGTCATCTTCATTAGCAATAGTGCCTCCAGTTTTTATTTCGGCAGGAAAGAAGTTGGTCAGTTTCGGTAGTTTATTTTTAAAATCTTCATGTTTCTGTTTCGCTTTACGTTTCGAAGTACCACTAGCGTATTTTCGTGGAATCATCACAAACGATAAATGGTAGACCGATAAACATGGACTTTCCCAACGGATGCGGACGTCTTTTACTTTTATTCATGTGACAATTGCCGCACGCGGCAGGGCGGCCACAACGTCATGAGAAATAAACAAATTTTATGGATTTATATATGTGTGTGTGTGTGTATATCTTCAGATAAAAACACCAGTGTACTTTTTTTTACTGAACATTGTGTCTGTACACGATGATTCATTGTATGAGGAATGCAAAATTAAAATTTTTAATTATTTATTTGCATTCGATATTTACTTTCATCGATGAAATACAATTTTATTTGAAAGCTAAGGGGCCCCTTATAAAGATGGGGCCGGGGGCTGTAGCCCCTTAGCCCCCCCTTAACCCAGGACTTATATAATATAAGAATAAAGGGGATATCATTAGAATATCGCAAAAAATTATAGATGAAGAAATCTTGCAAATTTTAAAATCATCTTTATTTTTTGAATGATCTCAAGAATACAAAGTTTTACTGTGGATATCACGTTGCAGGACATCCTGCGTATATATACACATACATACATACTACATACATACATACATACATTCATATTATTATATTATATATATATATATAATATA